CAATTCTCATGTATTTATACATGGTGTACTAGTACTAGTTCCAAGACTTCTACATTGTGCCAGTGAAAATAATTACAAAATACATCTATGAATACGAAAATATGAAAATAATACAATAACAAGAAATGATTGTAACAGGATGCTGTTACGAAGTCTCCCAAATGAAGCTCCCATAATTCGAAAGTCCCAGTGTCACCTGACATTGGACAAAGTCCAGTGAAAATTGGTTTGGTCCAGTAAAGTATATGCATTAGTGATGCTTGAGGACTAACCCTGTATATCATTCAAATCATCTTGGCATGACAAACCAGAATATATATGGTTTAGGGGTGGGGATCTCGACCATTTACAAGATACTAGAACATTGGGGGTGGGAGGAACCCCTGGGGACTGACCCTATACATCATTCAAATGTTCGAGACACGACGAACAGGAATATATATGGTTAAGGGGTGGGGATCTCGACCATTTACAAGATATTAGAACATTGGGGGTGGGGGGAACCCCTGGGGACTGACCGTATACGTCATTCAAATGTTCGAGACATGATGAACAGGAATATATATGGTTTAGGGGTGGGGATCTCCACCATTTACAAGATTTTAGAACTTTCTCAAATGGCAGGGGGTCGGGATGACCCCTGGGGACTAACCCTGTATATCATTCAAACCATCTTGGTATGACAAACCAGAATATATATGGTTTAGGGGTGGGGATCTTGACCAGTTACAAGATATTAGAACTTTCTTAAATGGCAGGGGGTGGGGGTGACCCCTGGGGACTAACCCTGTATTTCATTTGATGTGCTTTATCATGACAAACCAGAATATATATGGTTTAGGGGTGGGGATCTCTACCATTTACAAGATATTAGAACTTTCTCAAATGGCAGGGGGTCGGGATGACCCCTAGGGACTAACCCTGTATATCATTCAAACCATCATAGCATTACAAACCAGAATATATATGGTTTAGGGGTGGGGATCTTGACCACTTACAAGATATTAGAACTTTCTTAAATGGCAGGGGGTGGGGGTGACCCCTGGGGACTAACCCTGTATTTCATTTGATGTGCTTTATCATGACAAACCAGAATATATATGGTTTAGGGGTGGGGATCTCGACCATTTACAAGATATTAGAACTTTCTCAAATGGCAGGGGGTTGGGATGACCCCTGGGGACTAACCCTGTATATCATTCAAACCATCTTAGCATGACAAACCAGAATATGTATGGTTTAGGGGTGGGGATCTCAACCATTTACAAGATATTAGAACTTTCTCATATGGCAGGGGGTCGGGATGACCCCAGGGGACTAACCCTGTATATCATTCAAACCATCTTAGCATGACAAACCAGAATATATATGGTTTAGGGGTGGGGATCTCAACCATTTAAAAGATATTAGAACTTTCTTAAATGGCAGGGAGTGGGGGTGACCCCTGGGGACTAACCCTGTATTTCATTTAATGTGCTTTATTAGTTAGAACATTTTCAATCAAAAAGATTGTGTCCATCACAAACGGTTTTCAATTTATAATCATTTGAAAATTTAAAAAAATAAAATCCCATAGGGTTCTATAGTAAAACCCTCCTTTCTTTTTGCCCCTCAAAGTACCCCTTTATAAACCCCAATGCACAAACAAAACCCTGATTGCACCACTAGACATGTTAGTCTAGCATATTGTGAAACCCTAAGTTAATCTGACAAGCGGTTTTGGAGAACAGGTGCGGACAAGTTCAAATTTAAAAGCGGCGGAGGAGGAAGAAGAAGAAGAAGAAGAAGAAGAATAATAATAATAACAAGAAATGATTGTAACAGGATGCTGTTACGAAGTCTCCCAAACGAAGCTCCCATAATTCGTAATTCCCAGGTTCGCCTGACATTGGGCAAAGTCTAGTGAAAATTGGTTTGGTCCAGTAAAGTTATATGCATTAGTGATGCCTGGGGACTAACCCTGTATATCATTCAAATCATATTGGCATGACAAACAGGAATATATATGGTTTAGGGGTGGGGATCTCGACCATTTACAAGATATTACAACTTTCTCAAATGGCAGGGGGTCGGGATGATCCCTGGGGACTAACCCTGTATATCATTCAAACCATCTTAGCATGACAAACCAGAATATATATGGTTTAGGGGTGGGGATCTTGACCACTTACAAGATATTAGAACTTTCTTAAATGGCATGGGGTGGGGGTGACCCCTGGGGACTAACCCTGTATTTCATTTGATTTGCTTTATCATGACAAACAAGAATATATATGGTTTAGGGTAGAGGATCTCGACCATTTACAAGATATTACAACTTTCTCAAATGGCAGGGGGTCGGGATGACCCCTGGGGACTAACCCTGTATATCATTCAAACCATCTTAGCATTACAAACCAGAATATATATGGTTTAGGGGTGGGGATCTTGACCACTTACAAGATATTAGAACTTTCTTAAATGGCATAAGGTGGGGGTGACCCCTGGGGACTAACCCTGTATTTCATTTGATTTGCTTTATCATGACAAACCAGAATATATATGGTTTAGGGGTGGGGTTCTCGACCATTTACAAGATATTACAACTTTCTCAAATGGCAGGGGGTTGGGATGACCCCTGGGGACTATCCCTGTATATCATTCAAACCATCTTAGCATGACAAACCAGAATATATATGGTTTAGGGGTGGGGATCTTGACCACTTACAAGATAGAACTTTCTTAAATGGCATGGGGTGGGGGTGACCCCTGGGGACTAACCCTGTATTTCATTTCATGTGCTTTATCATGACAAACCAGAATATATATGGTTTAGGGGTGGGGATCTCGACCATTTACAAGATATTACAACTTTCTCAAATGGCAGGGGGTCGGGATGACCCCTGGGGACTAACCCTGTATATCATTCAAACCATCTTAGCATGACAAACCAGAATATATATGGTTTAGGGGTGGGGATCTCTACCATTTACAAGATATTAGAACTTTCTCAAATGGCAGGGGGTCATGATGACCCCTGGGGACTAACCCTGTACATCATTCAAACCATCTTAGCATGACAAACCAGAATATATATGGTTTAGGGGTGGGGATCTTGACCACTTACAAGGTATTAGAACTTTCTTAAATGGCAGGGGGTGGGGTGACCCCTGGGGACTAATACTGTATTTCATTTAATGGGTTTCATCATTTAGAACATTTTCAATTAAAAAGATTGTGTCTATTACAAACGGTTTTCAATTTATAATCATTTGAAAATTTAAAAAAATAAAATCCCATAGGGTTCTATAGTAAAACCCTCTTTTCTTTTTGCCCCTCAAAGTACCCCTTTATAAACCCCATTGCACAAACAAAACCCTGATTGCACCACTAGACATGTTAGTCTAACATATTGTGAAACCCTAAGTTAATCTGACAAGCGGTTTTGGAGAACGGGTGCGGACAAGTTCAAATTTAAAAGCGGTGGAAGAGGAAGAGGAAGAGGAAGAGGAAGAGGAAGAGGAAGAAGAATAATAATAATAATAAGAACTGAGCAAAAACAATAAGTCTTCCCAAACTTCGTTTGGGAGACTTAATAATAAGAACTGAGCAAAACCAATAAGTCTTCCCAAACTTCGTTTGGGAGACTTAATAAGAGAAAGACAACCTATGATTGCTTATACATGTAGTATCTGAGAAACAAACCTACATGTAACCACATCAAACTTAACCTTTAGACTTTAACATGTAGACTATGCAATATATTCAAAGTCAATGATTTAGTCATCAAAACCCTGACTTAAGATGCAGGGCCAAATATTATCTGTGGAAATGAAATATGCCGATGCTTACCGGTATAATACAACAGCATACCAAATTCCATTGACTTACCATAAGTGGTTCCCTTTAAACTGACCTAATCAAAAACTTAACATGTACAATGTAAACTATTCAAAACTTTCAGTCAATGAACCACCATGACTGAGTGGGTGGCACCAAATGCCAAATTTTATGTTTATACAACTGCATACAAAATATCCTAGACTTATCATTAGTGGTTCATCTTAAACTGACCTTATCACAAACTTTAACAGTTTCAAAGTCAATAGATCATGACTGATGAGAGGGCCAAATAATCTCTATGGAAATAAGATGTGTCAATGCTAATACAACTGCATACCAAATATCATTGACTTACTATTTGTAGTTTGTCTTTACATGATAAATTTGTTAAAGGAAACATACATACAATACACTTCAAAATAAACAGCCAAACATATATACACACAAACACAACAACAGTTACCATGGTTACAGTGCCATACCTGCTAAATGCACCAGTTCTAGGAGGGAGAGCGTCTAGTCTCCCTCCTAGAACTGGTACATTTAGCAGGTATGGCACTATTGTTGTGTATGTGTGTATATAAATTGTATGTTTGGCTGTTTGTTTTGAAGTGTATATATTGTATGTATGATTGGCTATAGCTATATACATGTCTGATATGTTAGTATATTTGGCTGAATGTGTTGATGTGTATTGTGTGTATGTTTTGATGTGTTAAAAGTTTTTTTGGCTGAACGTGTTGATGTGTATATATATATATTGTATGTATGTTTGGCTGTGTGTTTTGATGTGAGATTGTTTGGCCGAATGTGTTGATGTGAAATGTACATTGTATGTATGTTTGGCCGAATGTGTTGATGTGAAATGTATGTATGTTTGGCCGAATGTGTTGATGTGAAATGTATGTATGTTTGACCGAATGTGTTGATGTGAAATGTATGTGTGTTTGGCCGAATGTGTTGATGTGAAATGTATGTATGTTTGGCCGAATGTGTTGATTTGAAATGTATGTATGTTTGGCCGAATGTGTTGATGTGAAATGTATGTATGTTTGGCTGTGTGTTTTGATGTGAAATGTATGTAAGTTTGGCTGTGTGTTTTGACGTGTGTGTGTTTGGCAGTATAAGAGTGATGCATTGATGTCTGCTTGTGTATACATGTAATATACATATCTTACCTTCCTTTGCATACATGAATTGTTGATCTTGACTGTTACATAATCTATATTTGTTATTTTTCTCCCATCCAATAGCAACTGAAATTAAAAGACAAACATGTATCACTATACTATTTAGAATGAAGGAAACTGGTGTATGATGAATATTGACATGACTATTGACTGAACTCTCTCTCTCTTTATACTTTATATATATATATACATGTAGTGAAATCATAAAAAAATGCATTCTGTAAGGAAAATACATTTGATTTGATTTCTACATTAAAAAAACTGTCAATGCAGAACACGTTTCATGAACTATCTTCATCAGGTACAACCGACAAAAAGTTTGAAAAGCAAAAAAGAATGTTAGGGAAATATTAAAACCAAAAAGTCCCAATCAGAACAGCCAAAACTGCTCATTTTCATACATTTCATTAAATACATATACATCCATATATTTTTTTTTTTCGTTTACTTATGGATTCATTCAATTCATGACTTAAAGATAGTTTTTGTTGTTTACAGTTTCTCTTGGAGACTCTCCACTAAAGTTTTTGCCACAATGCGAAAAAGGGTAAAAATTATCATCATTTAAGGGCAGTAATTTCTATGGAATGACAAGTTCAGCCATAAGATGTGACTTAATTGTAGATCTAATGTCTTGCTAATCATTTTGCTGTTGAAGTCGATAGATTTTGCCCAATACACAAAAAATGGGTAAAATCCTTTAATATAAGGGCAATAACTCCTGTAAGGATTTGACTGACAATTTTGGCCATGTTGACTTAAAAATATAGCTACATTTTTAGCTAGTAATTTTCACTATTTGAAGTTTCTCTATCTTTATTATAGTTTTCAACATATACATGTAAAACATCTATCTATACATGTACATGTATCTTATCCAATATAGGAAATGGCCTGTTAGCTTACAAGTGCTACTTCCTTGTAATTTGACTGATAATTAACTTATCATTTTAAAGGTGATAAAATAATTTCACAATTAAAAATGTATAATGCCTAATAGTCCATTTGCCAATTACCGATTTAATTCTGTTAATACACACTTTTAACACAAATTACTTCCCTTTGTCAATTGAAGACTGGTTCTATACTGAACAAAATTGGCTTCAGCCCACGCAAAGCATGATAATTTGAAAGTGATATATATCACCATTTTAACCAATTTTTAGTGGAAAATTACTACAAGTATCAAAAGTTTTAACCGTAACAAAAAAGTAAAATGTCTACCATGTAGTTAAAGGGGCATTAGCTACAAGCATGACAAGATATGAAAAAAAATAGAATATGATTTTTTTTTGTTCAATCATTAATAAAAGTGAAATAATGAAATAATAATTCGCTTTTAGCAGTCAATTTGGTTCAATTTTGTCAAAATAAGCAAAGAAACATTGCTGATGAATTATTCACTTGCAAGTGAATAATTCGACCTCATTGAATCCGTATTCATGTGACCTTCAATTTAACCCATTAGCTAGAGATTGGTTACGCATGTATTAGTCGTGTTTAGATAGACATTAGATTATCTCTCATTCAAGTAAATGCAACTGAACATTGAGCAAGCAAGCACCAATCAACTGATTAATCGTAATCGATACATGTAAAAGGCTCAATACATGATCATGATGAAAAGTTTAACAACTGACAATTTTTCGCTATTTTGATGAATAATATGGATATTCAGACACAAAGATGTATGTACATTTGGTATGCATGTACATTTAAAATCTTAACATTGTGGAACTAATCTCTCTGGAAATTAATGATATTTTCTAAATCTCAGAAAATAAGATATCTCCTTTCAAGTATTAATACATTTTCTTCGCTTAAAGGCTGTGCTGTTTATCAAGATTTGGGATATATGAAAGAGATGTAAAAAAAAATCTCAAATTTTACAGTTTTAAACAGATTTTCTATTAAACAGTCAATGGTAACTTCTTAAATTTCTTTACTGGTTAATCAGGCAGTTCTTCCAAACTATTTACTTCACAATCCGAATAGTTTATAGACAGTTTTTGAAAACTGCACATTTTTATACACCAAAGACAAAAAAATAACTAAAAAATATACTTTGTCATTTCAAGCCAAGCCATACCCCCTCTTCTTGTTTCAATCATAGTTTTAAATTTATTCTCAAGCTATTTGTTTCTTAGTATGTATCATAATGTGCAGCCACTCAAAAGTGTGTTGATATTTGAATATAATAAAAAATTTAAGCATTTAAAGGAAGTAGAGATAAAAAAAATAATTTTCAAAATATTTTTTTTTAATTGTTGTAAGGTAGAAAAATAAAAGAAGGTAATATTCTGATATGTATTTGCATTCAATTTGTTTCAGGTTTAATCTTTTTACAAATAAACTGCTTCGCTGAGCGCAGCTGGATACGCCCGCAGAGGTCCAACCCTGAACAGTTGGGGCAAAAATGGACACAATATTCAAGCTTGATACAGGTCTGAATTTGGATTGTAATTAAATATTTGACATATTATAGGTTTCTGAATAAATGTAGTCAAAGAACTTGAAATTGGTTATATGAATTGAATTTATATTCAATTAAACATTTCTTGCTGTTGTGCAATACACTGAGCTGTTGCGCAATACTTAGTAAATCTGTTGTCAGACTATAAACAAATAAAATTTATAAAATTCTAAAGGGAGCTTACATCAATAGATATAATCAATTCACCAAAGTTTCATAAGAATTGCTGAAAGCATTTTTGAGTTATTGTCTGAAAACTGGAAAATCCCCCCTTTTTTAATAAATAAAACCCCATAACTCGGAAATGTAAAATCAAAAATTTATAAAATTCTAAAGGGAGCTTACATCAATAGATATCAACAATTTATCAAAGTTTCATGAGAACTGCTGAAAGCGTTTTTGAGTTATTGTTCGAAAACTGGAAAATCCCCCCCTTTTTTTATGAATAAAACCCTGTAACTTGGAAACGTAAAATCTAAACTTTATAAAAATCAAAAGGGAGCTCATGTCAATAGATATAAACAATTAACCAAAATTTCTTGCAAGTTGGTGAAAGCATTCTTGAGTTATTCATTGTTATTGTCCGAAAACTGGAAAATCCCCCTTTTTTTAATGAATAAAACCCCATAACTCGGAAACGTAAAATCTAAAATTTATAAAAAACGAAAGGGAGCTCACGTCAATAGATATAAACAATTCACCAAAGTTTTATGCAAATTGGTTAAAGTGTTTTTGAGTTAATGTATGACATGTTGACAACTGACAGACAATGGTATACCATAATACGTCCCGTAAACGGGCGTATAAAAAAAACAACATAAAATTAAGGAGTATATTGTGAAAGGTGACAAAAAAGGGGAAGTAACTCAAATTTATTGTCAAACAACTTTGAAATAGACAAATTATTCATGACCTTAAGCTAAGGTAATTGGTGTTAATTAACAGTGTGTTTGACACCAAAGCTGTCAAGTGAAGCCATGCACTTAATGGGTCACTTAATTTGACAGTTAACACAGCTAGTTGAACTTCCTGTCCAGGAAGAATTACGAATTTGCCAGTATTTCAAAGGAAAATCACTTATGAAATCAGTCTAAATGCTGAAGAATCTGGGTAAATACGCGTCATTTTCCGAATTCCAGGGTTATTTAACGCCCCGGCGGTTATTTAAAAAAATTCTGGGTATGGGGTGAAATTCTCCGGTGTGATCCGCAGGATACGGGTCAGTTGACAGGTATGATGTAGCTAAAATACACACAGTTAAGTAGCAAGCTCATGTGGTATGTTTTCCTGCCAAAAGGAAAAATTAATCTAAGGTATGTATCACTTTCAATGTGTAAAAAAAATGTTTCCTTGATTTATCCTGATAAATGTACTTCATCTGAAAATTTAAAAAAGGCAAATAACTTTTTTTAATTAACAACATGAATTTAACATGCACAGGTTATTGATTCATTGAAAACACTTTTTAACCTGGTACTACTATTTATAGGTTTCAGTTAATACGAAATGACCAGACATGAAATTTCTTCTTCCCACCCGTAATAATACACCTGGGAATAGAATGTTATGCAATATACAGGTATATACAAATTGTAAACAACATACCATCCTCTTTATTGACCCATAAGCATAAGCTAAGTGATACAAATAAATATGTAAACAACTATGAATTGCACTAAAATAGGCAGTAATGAATCAATTTACCTTCCAGAATATCAAGGTGTTGATGAATATTGACCTCTGACAGACCAGCCAGAAAATTTAATGCTGGTGGTAATCCTTGTACCTGCGGAGGGCCAACGCCCTGCATTTGCATTTGAACATGAGCTGGATCCGCCATAATGTTTGACTTCTGTCTGTTCTATTATGAGTATATCTGAAATAAGTTCAATCAGACCGTCGTGAGAGGCATGCAAAGCTCACAAAACGATTATCTTGACATAGGCAGGTCGCACACGTACCACTCAATGCAAACGCAGATCCTGTTTAGTATGGTTCAGTCACCCGTAACAGAGAGAGTGAAAGGGAGACAATTCCGATTTTATAAGTTTCGTGCGTGACGGTGGTGAGTGTCATTTTCGAGTAATGTGTTTTGTCTTGCTTGAAGTTTTATTATTCACCGTGTTTCGTGCAAATTGGTGAGAGGGCAACTTACAAGCTAATCTTTTTTCGTTCATCGACAAATGGCCATTTTATTTCCAGTTCCCTCCCCACTTTAAAGACACCAGAGACATATGAAGACACAGATATCAAATTAAAACAAAAGATCGCATACCAATAAAATTTATAACTAGGGACATAATACACCTTATCGCTAATCCCGCTTGACCCGAGAATCAGTCCCGCTCGAACTTTTGACGTCATACAACAATAACTTTTCCATTGTGGCGTCAGATATTTTCTATTATGACGTCAACATTTTACGGGAACTTGTGTGATGTCCAGTAATGGCGGACAAATAGCGATAAGGTGTATATAATAGTCCCAGCACTAACATAAGCTTGCTAAGACTGCTTTTGTTGAAAATGTACGGTAAATCGGTGAACCCTTTTTGTAATAAAGAAGTGTGGACACAGACTTAATTGTGTTTTCTGATGGTCGATTTTTTATAATGACTTGTGCCTGAGTGGTGGATTCTGCAAATATGATGTATATTTTATTTTGTCATGCGTAGACTCCAAAGACCAAACTGAAACTAATTAAAGGACTGTTTATATAAAAATAAAGTTTGGTCGATTCTTTGAAATAGTAATATACTGCCAGAAAAAAAGTGACAATATTTCAGAATATTAGTGACAATTTTTGATAATGTCTGAAAAAGCAAAGAATAAATTCAGCGTCTGTTTGGCCGTGTGAGTTTCATTTAATTTACTCTATCTAAATCAGTGTGATCATTTGCAATGGAACTCATTAGTAGACTTTGTATTTGGTATTTGAGTTCATCGTGCCTAGACTCCTACTGAGGCCAAATTTAAATGTAAAGGATTTAAGTAAAAGTCAAAGTTAATCAAATCTTTCGAAATTTGAATTTAAATTAAGATATAAAAATCAATACTTCATAATATCAAAGAACAAACCAAAAAATTCAATAAATAGATTTAGCGTATGTTTTGCCTTGTGAGTTTTGTTCCGTTTACACTGGTTAAAATGTGATCATATGCAATGGGACCCATCAGTCATGTCGGTAGGATTTGCATATGAGTTGACAGAATAAAAGACTATTCGAATAGAAAAGAGCAATGGCACTGTTTCATATATTTAGGTTAAAAGGCATGAATTTTTAAACGAATTAACTAAAATTGTATCAAATCTGTTAGAACTAAAGAAATGAAACGAAACGAAAAGATCACTGTTTAGGGACCAGACTTTAAAATGTTACATTTAAAAAATTTGAAATAAGCATTATTTTATAATTTATGATCAGTATAAGATAACCGTGGCATTCTTATTAGGAGGACCAAGTTGCGAATTTATGCACCTGATAAATTTACAGATATTTTTTAAGTTAAGCTCTTTTCTTGGAATTAACAAAATTTCCAAACTTTATTCCAATAAATATGGCTTAAATACAGTTTTTATCTAGCTTCTGAAAAAGATGAACATTGAAAAATATAGTGAAATTCATCGCTAATCTTTTGACATTGGCATGAATTTTAAGAAACTCTCTTGCCTATATCAATACCATTCCACCGTCCAGTTTCAATTGGTAACTTGTGATTACCTTTTCTAAATCTACAAAAAGTAATTCTATCTGTGTCTATAGTATTTTTATATTGAAACTCATTTTTAAATAATCTATATATTAGACCCTTAGAAGACGTACCAATGTCATGAAACCATTTCTGAATGAACTCATCCAGTAATTTTGCTTCAAACTAATACTTAACCAATTATAATTTAATTAAAAAGAACAACAGAAAAGCAATACACAATATACAAGGGTAAACATATATAGTAAAAGTAGACGAATACCATTGCCTCGAAGAAAGTCTTTTTATTGGAAAAGCGACAATTTATAACAGTCTTCACGAAATACTTTTTTACTTTCAAGCCCAAAAATCAGTCTTTCATAAAAATTCTTGAATTTTATAAAGCTTGTGAGGCCTCTGTTCAAGAAAATTTTACTGATTCGACAACATGTTTACTTGCCTGGGGTTAATCGCGATGACTGTTATAAGAGATAACTACGAACAATTCTCTTTTTGGATTTTTAAAAGTTAAGCTTGACAATTGGCTTGAAAACATTTACACTTTTAATTTCTTTCAAAGTTAAGGCAGCCTTTTCCAAATGGTTGAATGATTTCATTTTGATAAGATGGGCGCTTTCCCGGCGTTTTGTGTATCTTTACCGCAAAATTTACATCAAATTCCCGCCGTGTGCAGGCGAGGATCCAGGATTTGATTTTAGGGAGGGGCGCTACTGAGATATAGGAATTAGAGGACATCATTTTGACACAATTTTTCCATTATTACATTTAAAACAAGGGCCTGAAACATATAGCCTTCTTTTCCGCAATTATTTTCGGTAGTATTTTATAACGATTGCTCTACGTTTCCTCAAGTAAAGTGTTGTATTGTAAATATATTGAAAATAATAAGTCAACAAAAAATTTTCAAGGCTGATTGATGCACGTGCAAGTGCTGATAAAGCTGCTATGTCCGCTCAAATTTTGCTGATTTAGATAAAAAAAAATATTTGACCATGTTAACATGATTTATATAATATTGTGTTTATACATAATTTCTATATAAGTTGGAATCTCTTTTAAACCATTGCAGATAATTCTGACTAATTGTTATATTCTTAAATAATGTTTCTGTATACTTTGTATTGTGTTTGTGAACAATCTAGATATATCAATGGTCGTTTTTGTAATATTAATAAGTTTAGGACAAAAACAAACTAACAATCAAAACAATAAGAATAAGAATTATTTCGATTCTAATAGCAAAATTCAGATTTTTTTCACTCCATATAATAGTTGAATTTGTCTATGTCGTACGAATAACTTATTAAACGATGTAACATAATTCAAAATTGACAGTATTTTCATCGTTAAACCCTTTTATTGCATAGAAAAGGTTTCAAAACTTGTTGTGATAAAAGACTTTCCGGTTGTCTCCCTTTGAACAATAAATGCAAAAGTGATGTGCGAATATAAAACTGTTGCAGATGCACTATAGCTAGAGAGTGATTAGTACAGTAATATCAAATTATACTAAACTTGGAATTTTATACTGTTGGAACCAGGATCCTTAGGTCATAATGGCCACAGTTAGCTACGCTTGGTCAGACTCACTATTCTGGTCATGGCCAGCGATCACTGCGTAGAAGATTCGCGAAAGAATAGAAACGGGCGGACTTCTGTCTGCAGCGCAAGACTGGATATATACCATAGGATACTCGAAGATCTTACACGAAGAAATCCTACTACATCTTCTTTTTCATATATATCTATAGAAATGGTGTGTGGGAGGGGTTAAAGTTTAGTAAATAACTTAGTTACACTCGGTACTATTAAATAATTAAAAATAAGGAATAAATTGAATGGCCAGAAGTACATCGTCTAATAGATTAGGTGTTCACCAAGCTGGAATTTCTGGCAAAAACTAAAATTTAAATATTAGATATTAGCGAATGTAAACTATCTTGCCAATCTACAAATTTGTATGTGTCTGTGTGATGTTATGTGCTTTTGTGTGAATTTTGATTTACATACACAGACGTATATATATATAAGCTTTATAGATAAACTTTCATATAATTTTTATACAAATTTAGCCCAGAGAAAATGTATGTTGTCGTTGTCATATACCATGATGTATTGAATTCGTATCTCATCAGTTGCATCTGCTAATGTTGTGTGTTATTGAAACAAAAATAACTGATGGGCACCGCTTTACCTTAGTTTGAAATCGTGTCGACATAATCGATGTGTATTTTTTTTTATATCACTGGCGGTTTAGATCAAACTAAAAACACAATATGTCCTGCTACTAACTCAATCATGCAAAAAAAGATTTCAAGTTTCAAATTTGAGGACCATGCATATATGAGGACAATGCCGATATATGCATGACAAGAGGGTTCTTCTATTTCTTGCAAAGATAAACCGACCTTGCGAGACCCTCGTTAAACTTAACCCCCCCCTAGTAGTAGTAGCAAAGATAATGTGACAAAACTTAGTTTTGTGAATAGCTTTTTTAAACACTGTGTTCTGTGAAATACGTTTTATTTAAGTTCTAAATAATTAGATATAGGACGATATTTATTGACTGACCATGACCTAGCACAATTTGCTGTCCCCGTATGATGCCGATCTCAATACAACATTGTTCAATATCGAGTGAAAACACTGTTCACACGAACCACGCATGATAAACATCTTCTTATTCCATGTTTCAAACGTTGAAAATGTTGTTGAATTCATATAACCCTAACACACATATATATATATAGTAGTCTTTGCCATTCCTGGTGCAAAGCTAAGGATATGTGGTAGTATTGCTATCCAACAGAGTCCAAAGGAAGCGGAGTTAAGCAGCTATAGGTCACCATACGGCCTTCAACAATGAGCAAAACCCATCCCGTGTAGTCAGCTATAAAAGACCCGGAAATGACTAATTGTGAAACAATTTAACCGTTAAAAACTACGATCTGATTTATGTAAAAAGAGGCAATATGAGAGACGTGAACCAACGCCAACCACTGAAATACAGGCGCCTGACTTGGGACAGTCAAATATAGAATGTGGCGGGGATAAACATTTGTGTGAGCGCTCAACCCTCCTCTAAACTGGGACAGTGATGTAACAGCACAACATAAGAACAAACTGTAAAAATCAGTTGGAAATAGCTTGACTCATCAGGTCGACACGAATACAAAAAGACAACAACAAAAAACTTACTTAAAGACAAAAATCACAAAGTGCTGTTCAAAGCCATTAACAACTTATAAAAAGTCATGTACGTTCTTCCAGACTTAAGTATCAATCAGTTTACATCCAACAGATTTAGTGTAAAGACGTCATAAACAGTCTGAGAAAATCATGACCTAGTGCAATGCCAAAATAAAAAATAAACATAATATTGACAAGAATAGCATCATAAGATTTTATAAATGTGTAGCAATGCATATTTAGTTAGGCTTTAATTTATCACAAACAAAATTAATATTGATACCGATAAAACAATAACCAAAGATCTAACTACAAAGTCAAATTGATATCCCACAAGAATAAGATTATTCAAATGATCAATTCGTTTACATGGATCGTAACTAAATTTACGGGCTTTGTAAACAACATTACCGTGGAAAGTAGAATATGATATCCCGTTTTTGATAAAATTCTATCAAACCTATCAAACCTTATTATTCCTATCATAAGTTTTCTTAATTATATTCATTGCAACAGGTTCTATACTATAAAATTCCATTTTTAGAGCTTCCATACTGACATGATTTAAAACATACATTTGATTTTTTTCTCAGTTGATAAATTAAAGAAATATATTAATAAACTAAGGTTCCAACTCCCTCAGGTAAAGTTGATCTTAGATGAATGTTGCTATTCTGTTTTATTTTTTGTTGTTGTTGTTGTTGTTGCTGTTTTTTTGAGATTGCAAATATTCACTAGGAAAAGGTCAATAAACTTGAACAACAAAAAAATCAGCTTATTTGAATATAAATATGTTGCCATCAGATAAAACATGTTGTATATTTTTCCTGACGACATCGGATTTCCTTTTTGTGGAAAGGACTTCCCGTTTGTTTTCCCGATTAATAAAATTATACGACTTGCCAAATATATTGAATTGTGCGGTCTAGTCGATATGTAAAAGTATAAACTTTTACCGTGTAACTAAAATGGCTAACTCTAAGAAATCAACTGGTTTTATTGAAAGGTAGGATCTTTTAAGCATAAGAAAAATACATGCATGTGTAATTCTCCTATGAATATATACCACGTTCAAAAATATCATTGACAATTCATTATTTGGATACAGATCAGCGTATCCATGGACGTTACGCCACTTGTTTCCAAGTTAAGATTAAAGGAATTCCTTTTTTCAATAATTGATTGACATTTTTCTATCGATGTCGATTTCAATTAAATCATCTTTTAATATAGAAACTCGAGAGAAAAAATATCTTGAAAATGAGTGACCAAGAGCTAGGAAAAAACCTGTCATATAGGCCATTAAGAAAGTCATATATTAAAGGGACATTAGCTGTCAAATTCATGTTCCCTGATTTGACTCAAATTCTCATATTTGATTTATAACATACTAAAACAAATATCGAAATTACACAAAGTCTAAGATAAACAATTAGCAATGCATGGACTCGATAATATGTATCAGGGGCCGTGTCAACGACGATGTCTTAGGACTAGGACGTGTCTTAGGATGGTCTTAGGACACGTCTTAGTCCTAAGTCAGGTTAACGAAAGTCCCCTAAGATAAGATATGTCCTAAATTTGGTCCTAAAGTTATCATATATACATCTATAGGTGTCTTAGGATGGTCTTAGGATAGTCCTAAACGTTACGATGTTACAAATATGGTCTTCAGTAAGTATTTGAAAAAAATATCTTTGTGTAGATACTATCCCATGTCTTCTTAATATTATTCGTTGCCACATTTGATAGCTTGCTGAATTGTATTATTCGTTGCCACATTTGATAGCTTGCTGAATTTTATTATTCGTTGCCACATTTGATAGCTTGCTGAATTAAATTATTCTATTCTTATTTACTTCGGCAAGCAGAATTTAATAATAATAATAATAATAATTTCCTTTATTTCAACAGGATAACATAATTATTCCAAAGACTAGTTTACAATAAGGTTCTTCATTATATACATTTATTACAACATAAAGTATAAAGTTCAATAATATAAATACTAAATATTTTATAAATACTTTATTTTGCGTTATTTTTTTATTCATGAATATGCAACCTCCACCATTTACAAATATGCTGAAATGCATTAAAGTATATTTCATTTAATTCTCTACATATTTTTATTAATTAAATAAATGTTTTAGGATGGTCATAGGACAATCGTTGTTAGGACTGTTCTAAGATAGCTTTGTTTTACATTCTAAGATTTGTCTCAGACACGTCCTAAGACCATCCTAAATAATGTCATAAGACATATCTTAGGACATATCCTAGGATACTTTCATTGACACGGCCTCAGGATATCGTGTATATATTAGTCTAGACGCCATCTAATTAACCATCGAGATTACGTCCGAAGACTGCCGACGGTCATATAACCTGATTTAAACATAAATCTGAATATTAATAGATAGCGACCACGTGCAATATGATTTTTCTAGGTCTGTATAATTTCATATTGTATTTTAAAAAGTATGTTTATCACGTTTTTACCTGTATAAGAATGATTTTTTGTGGATGGAATCAGTCAACCAGATGGTTTATCCTTTTTTCACTTTCAATGTTGACATTCTTTTTCTTTTAAAAGCTGAATACATGCGTAACCCATCTCCAGCTTAGGGGTTAGATTGAAGGTCACATGAATAAGGATTCAATGAGGTCAAATTATTTACTTGCAAGTGAATAATTCATCAGCGATGTTTCTTCGATCGCTTATTTTGACAAAATTGAACCAAACTTGCTGCTAAAAGCGAGTTATTATTTCACTATTTCACTTTCATTAATGACTGAACAAAAAAAATTCTATCTCGTAGCTGATGCCCCTTTAAACGACAATGCCTTCAGAACATACAATTTTATGACTTTAAGCCATAGAGAATTGGTCTGAATGAAATGAGATGTTGAGGGAAAACTCCAATTATACAGCATCACAACATTTCAAACTTACCATTTATAGATACCGTGATGTCAATTTTACGGTGTTAAGGCTCTGAATGTTAAATCTATGAAGAATATTGCAAACATTTTCTTTCTGATTTCTATTTGTACGATAACAGACCCTAACAAAGCAATTGTTTTTTATTCATAGAACAGCTAGTTATTGAAAAATTTCGATAAGATGGCATTTTTTCTATGTTAACTATGTTCAACAGTTTTACAAATTTATATGTTGAAACGATTCACCTAATTCATCTGCAATTTTCGACAAGAACATAGAGTGTATTTTGTTTAGCTCCTCATGAATAGCATATAAGTCTTCTTTCATTCTTTCAGTCTGCCTCATATCTTGACTTACATCTAGAAATTGACAATGAGGGTCGGTTGAAAACAAAACTTTATGACGAAAGAGATGATTTCAGCTTCCCTATTGTGAACTTTCTATTTTTATGTAGCAACATTCAAGCGGCGCCTGCATACGGAGTATATATCTCCCGGTTGATACGATACTCCAGGGCTTGTATTTCCTATCATGATTTCCTTGATAGAGGGTTGCTGCTCACAAGGAAGCTATTAAGCCAAGAGTTCCAAGTGGTGAAGTTGAAATCTTCCCTTCGTAAATTTTACGGACGCCATCACGAGTTGGTTGACTGTTTCGGAATATCCGTTTCACAGATGATAGCGGATATGTTCCTAATGTCGTAACTACAATCCCGTCCCTTTTTCCCGAATGTAACCTACCGAATTAGACTTATTACCGGGTTTGTACTAACATGAGCAACACGGCAGGTGCCACATGTGGAGCAGGATCTGCTTACCCTTTCGGAGCACCTGAGATCACCCCCAGTTTTTGTTGGGGTTCGTGTTGCTCAGTCTTTAGTTTTTTATGTTGTGATTTGTGTACTATTGTTTGTCTGTTGGTCTTTTTCTTTTTTAGCCATGGCGTTGTCAGTTTATTTTCGACTTATGAGTTTAAATGTCCCTTTGGTATCTTTCGCCTCTCTTTTAAAGTATATATGAGAACCGTCAAACAGCTGGTTATAAAAAGTGGTGTATCTTAGCCTAGTTATTTTTTTGTAATTTGAGGATGAAATCTCATACCATTTCCACATATACAAATCAACATATATATATGAATTAATCACATCCGTTCTTATTAACTTTATATTATGTACATGTATATGCGTGTTTTAATTTTTTCACACAATAGACATCACAAATTTTAAACTGAAAATGAATGAATTAAAAAAAATGTAATCAGGAATGATGCGTGCTGATTTACAGACAGTTTAACACTTCAATCTGTAAAAGTGGGTCTGAATGGGGTTTACAGAATTCAGGATAATGGACAAAAAGTGCAGAATAAAGCGGATCAAAAGTAATAAAGAATAGAGATAAACAGGCCAACAAAATAAAGAATTGAGAATAATGTGGTGCTGAAATGTGAAGAACAGAAAATAACGGGCAAAATAGATAAAAAATAGAGAAAAATGTTCTAAAAAATTAAAGGATAAAGAAATAAAGGACCCCATCCAGACTCTCATATTTTTAACATTATAATTAATATTCTAAATTTTTTCATTCAGGGATGGAAGTGAATCAAATAGCAACAAAATTTGCACACAGCAAACACATGCACGAATACTTGGACCTCTAGAAAGGAGTTTTTATTTCTGGACTTTGAAATGTGATGATACATTTCCATATAAAATGTCTCTATCCAGTAAATACCCATTCACTGTTAAACACGTGTCAGATGCAATATCTTCTCTGGTCAAACAACATCAAGTGTTGTGCAAGTCATTTGTGGATACCGGAAGCAATATAGAATTAATCGAAACCAGCAATCACTCCAACCATCTTGAAATTTTACCGAAGACACGCTTTTACTCAATTTTTAACGAATTTTCTTTGAATGGTAAGCTTTGTCGTTTTATACTATTGGAGCCCGCTGCCAACTCTACACATACTATAGAAGTAATGATTGCAGTCCACCATGCCTTAGCAGATTATATTTATAATCGCGAGATAATTAGAACATTTGTAAACAATTTGCATCTGTTGCAACTTGGTAAGAAACCTTTAACAGATATTGAATTCAATCTTACCATGCCAATCGAAGAAATTACAAAAAATATGGCTGTCAAAGATATCCAAAGCTACCGAATCGATCGAAGATTTGTCAATAAGAAAGTGTCAACAGTAGTCGAAATATTGTCCCGCTCAATCGAGAAACTAAGCCAATTAAAGTGTCCCTGTGGTTCTAGTCGGACAATAAGGTGGAGTCTTGACAAAAATGAAACACGTTCTTTTCTTGTTTCACGTAGAAAATGTAATGGGTCGATTAATGCTTTGATATTATCAGTATGCATTACATCTTTCATGAAGTTGATAAGCGGAAGTCTTAAACAAGACGAAATAGTAGATCTGTCATTCTCGTTCATGGTTAATCTACGTAGGTACATATTAAACCGAGAAGAATTCCGAGGGAATGCTAGTATAGATGTACATTTCTTTTTACAAATGGACTCACCAGTAAATTCGGACAAGCAATTCTGGCTGATAGCCAATGAAATCTCAGAAAAAATTCGTGAGATAATCGATTCCGCTGGACTCCTTACTGCAGCAGAAGACTGGATAGATATGCCTCGGGAAATAATAGCTCTGACACACGTTGGTTCTATAGATAATTTTCTTGAAGATGAGACGACCGTTCGTCTGGAAGACCTTCAAGTAAACGTGAATGCCAATCAAGACCTGTCCGCACTATTTCATATCATCACTTATTTTTCCCGAGGTGAGATGCATTTCTGTATAGCCTACGGTTCGTCTTTTATACCTGATCAATTTGCTCAAGTTTTTGTAAATGGCATCAATGAAACCATCCAACATATGGGGAATGTCTCCAAACTTTAGATATTCGTTTTGAATTATCTCCGTAGAATGTTTATTTAAGAAATAAAATCATATTAAATACATGTATTAAAATTAAATCATGTTTGATAGTTTTATTTGTATACTTTCAACATAACGACTATCACTTACAACAAACACAAAATAACAAAAACAAATTTAAAATGAAGACAGCAACTAGTGGAAGGAATAGCCTGCTTTTTCCTATAACCAGAATCTTTTGGAGAGATCATCCCCTAGAAAAGAATTTATTAATTTTGTCATATCTTATACAGTTCTAATAGTGAATTGTGTCAATGACAGAAATTATATTGATCTTTATTAGTAAGAACATATATTCAAATCAGTAGATTTTTTTAGATTTTTCTTTTAGTTGTAAGATGTTCCGTTGAAAAACTACATGTCGATCATTGAACAGTTGAGTAAAAGTGCTGAAGGTTTAGTAACCTTTCATTCGTCAATATTTTTGTGTAATTTACTTTACAAAAATATAATATTGTATTTTAATGCAGTATTTCACATATATGTATGTACTGGTAGATTCCTCCGTTATTCGGAGCACCCCTCAAGAGTTGCGAGGGTACAGTGAATCGTTGAACGCCTCCCAACGGGAGTAATGGAGATCTGTCACTAACGTATTTACAACAATATTTACAAGGACAATCCTTACCAGCACAAAGGGAGTGCTAGGACACCGGGAAGTCTATTATTATTGTGGAGAAAGCCGAAGTACTCAGAGAAAGCAAGCAGACAAACTGAAGAAATATCAGCAGACTGATACCCAGGTCGAAATCGGAGGCAACTTTGACCTACCGAGATCCCCAAAGTACCAATTCTAGTTTAAACTCCGGTCTGGGTACCAGAGATGCATGTGGAAGGGTGAAAATCACCCTTTTGGTGTACTGAAATTTCCAGCGCCCCGAGTGAGAATGGAAACCGGGACTCTCAGCACTGCATCCATCGGTCTTAACCAATAGACTACGAACCCACATCATAGCATTCTTTGCTACACATTTATAGACAGCCGTAAATCCAAAAACACCATATTAAAAGAAAAATATACAAACCTTTAGATCATACGATGAAATAATTACTACAATAGAGACATATAAAGTCTTCAAAAGAAAGTCTATACTGTAAATGAAAAAAAGAAAGATGGAAAATTAAAAAAAAAATGCCTATACATAACGGAAAGGAATAGTATGCTCAAACAGAAACCGTTTACTAACAGAAAAAGAGAGATATGAAATTCTTCACAAAACACAATTCTCTAGCAGACAGACGTATTTTATACTTTAGCATAAACCTATACCCGATAGATAGATGTATGAAATAATACAACCTTACCAGAAAGATGTATGTTACACTCAAACATAAACCTATACATGATAGAAAGACGTATGAAAAACTAAACCCATCGCAGAAAGATGTATGTTATTCTCGAATATAAACCTATACCTAATAAAAAGACGTATGCCGCACTAAAACCATAGCAGAAAGATTTATGAATCTTCAAAACAACCCTTTACCTAATATAAATACGTATGAAATACTAGAATCTTAGCATAGAGAGGTATGATATATTCAAACATAAACCTATACATGATAGAAATACGTATGAAAAACTAAACCCATAGCAGAAGGATGTATGTTATTCTCGAATATAAATCTATACCTAATAAAAAGACGTATGGCACACTAAAACCATAGCAGAAAGATTTATGTAATCTTCAAAAGCAATGAAATAACAAAATGAAACCTGACCAGCCAGATGTATGCAATGTTTAAAAACAAACCTATATCAAACAGAAAGACGTACGAAATACTTAAACCTAAACAGAAAGATGTATGTCATACTCAAACATAAACCTATACCTAATAGAAAGACGTATGAAACACTAAAACCATAGCAGAAAGATGTATGAATCTTCAAAACAACCTTATACTTAATAAAAATACGTATAAAATACTAGAATCTTAGCAGAAAGATGTATGATATATTTAAACATAAACCTATACATGATAGAAAGACGTATGAAATACTAAACCCATAGCAGAAAGATGTATGTTATCCTCGAATATAAACCTATACCTAGTAGACCTTTTCAACAATTGTCTACACCTACAGTTGAGAACGACTACGACAGGTGACATGTAAGGGTCGTCTCAAAAACTAAAGTGAAAAAAATGTTATTGATCGCATATGATAATACTGATTGCCAATGAGTCAACTACCCAACATGACGTGTGTTTACGCAATTATTGTGTACCATACCTTGTTTTGTTAATTAAGTATTTGCTTATTAAAATTAAAGTTATGTTTGAATTGACAATGATAACAAATAGGGTTTCAAATTTAATTTTTTTAGACGTCGAGATAGAAAATGTAAAACAAAACCTGTATTTTTGTAGTAGGTGTTTAATTAAACTTACAATGTTTTATGTCTGTTGACTAGCGCGGCACATGCTTTTAATTTTGGTTTCGGATGCATCAATGTACTCATTACTGTATTTCTTTTTCATTTATCAATTTGATGTTTAACTTGAATTCGATATTCAGCTACAATGCAATTCAATTTTCGAATCTTCATCTTTAAATTTTCGGCTAACGGTGCCGTCGCTGGACCTGCTGCTCAGCAACGAAATGCTGTATCTGACCAGAGAAAGGGTGATGCTGATGAATTGCCACGCCCTAATGAGGTACGACCAATAAAAAGTTGAAGCAAAACAGCGCCCAAAAATAAACTTTGTTCGCGAGAACCAGCTGGAATACAATAAGTTCATAACAAAACAGATACCAAAACCTTTAAAGGCCCTTTGTGTATCTTCTGAATCAAATTCAGATAAAAACCCTTAGCCTTCATCTTGCCCCCATCCCACTCCCAAAAAAGAAAAGAAAATAGCGATCTTTTATCGACTAACAAGGAATTAAATATGAGGGCGAACCAGAATGTAAAAATACCAAATTGTTAATTTAAAATTCTATTGGGACAAAGACGTACAAATGACCAACACGAGGAACTTTTTCAGGCTCATAAAACATGCGGCGGTGTTTTACAAATAAAATTGGATCCAAAACTTCCCTTTGTACAGTCAGAGATGAAATTTAAAAAAATTACGCATGAAAAAATAGAAAAGAGTAGAAAACCAAAGCTAAGTCCAGAAAAGGGGAAAGGTAAGCAGTTACTGATTCTTGCAAGACACACGAAGGTCATTTAGGAACGGGGAAAGGAATCTATGACAAATGACAATGTATGTTGTCTTTCTGGACACGGACAACCTATCACGGTCAATCAATTCCTGATGACAACCATAGAACTTACTAAAGGATTACCTGAATTGTGGGTCACTGAAATGCCCTGTTTGAGTCAGACGTGCGGCACTGTCCAAAAAGTCTCTGCAATGACAAGCTCTGTTGAGATATAAGGTACTGACGGAATATTTTCAAATATTTTGGCCTCGAGCATCACTGAAGAGACATTGATTGTCAAAATTTGCATCTGGTGCAGAAAAAATTGACACCGTTTATGTTTCCAATTCATTAGTGGAACACCTCAACTTAAACATATTACATGTATCTTGTAACTAAATATTGCGATGAAACCTTTTTCTTTGACCTTTAAATTAATAGGCTTTGAACTCTCCGAAAATTGAATGTGTACACAACGTGACGTGAAGATCGGTTGAGAAACACAAATTCTACCGGACGGACGGACGGTCCTATTACAATGTTCCTTCCGCTAATTTACTAAATAGCATTACAAAAACTAATTAAATCGGTATTGGCATGTGGCACAATCTTCGATGACAGACTCTCTTATCTAAATACTCATAATCATACATTTTCAGAAGAAATAAAAAGCAGATCACGATGTGAAATTAATAAATTCAAAAGAGAGATATCCATATTTGTTTGAAATATGTTTTTTAATCAAAATAGTGTATAAAAGTATACCTTATACTGTTCATGAATGACTTCTATTTTTGAGACGACCCCTCCATTTTACCTGTAAACTGTCGGTGTCATTAGTCGGTGTCGAGAGTTGTTGAAAAGGTCTAATAGAAAGACGTATGACACACTAAAAACCATAGCAGAAAGATTTATGAATCTTCAAAACAACCCTATACCTAATATAAATACGTATGAAATACTAGAATCTTAGCAGAAAGAGGTATGATATATTCAAACATAAACCTATACATGATAGAAAAACGTATGAAAAACTAAACCCATAGCAAAAAGATGTATGTAATCTTCAAAAGCAATGAAATAACTAAACGAAACCTGACCAGACAGATGTATGCAATGTTTAAAAACAAACCTATATCAAACAGAAAGAAGTACGAACTACTTAAACCTAAACAAAGAGATGTATATCATACTAAAACATAAACCTAAACTTAAAAGAAGACGTATGACACACTAAAACATTAACAGAAAGATGAACTAGTATGTAATCTTTAAACATAATTCTATACCTAATAGAAATATGTATTTAATACTTATGCCTTAGCAGAAAGATGCATGTTATACTCTAACATAAACCTATACCTAATAGAAAGACGTACAAATACTACAACTTAAGCAGACAGATGTATGTTATAGTCAAACATAAACCTATACCTCGAAGAAAAACGTATGAAATGGTAAACCTTAGCTGTAAGATGTATATAATTTTAAAAACAAACCTATACATCAGGTAGAGACGAATTAAAAAAAAAACGCGCATACCAAACAAAAAGAAGTATGTTCATTACATAAATTACCAAAAAAATAAAAATCAAGCCTATACTCAAGATAAAGACTGAGATAACACCCCAACCCAACAAAAAACAAAAAACAAAAACAAAAACAAAAACAAAAACAAAAACAAAAACAAAAACAAAACAAAACAAAATCAAGGCTTTATTTAATTATTTAAGACAATGACGTATATTTGGGGAATATATAACATCTTCACATCCCGGAGTTGATACAGTCAAATATAAACGAAATAACAATTTCATGATCACTTCGATTGATTGCTGGAACAAATATAGAGGATCTTCATAATTCAAAGTCAATACCAAGACAACAACAAATAGTATCTATGTTTGTTTACCATTCAAATTAGAAGAACAGGAATCAATGAGGTAAAGATTAGAGATTAGCTGAACAAAAATCGACTCTGACCTGCAATAATCTATAAAAACAGACTACAATTTGCTGATGATGTGTGTTAGAGAATGCATTTCCAACTATACACTACTCACAAACTTATGCAAAAGCTACTAAATATAGAAATAAGGAGACGTGGTGTGATTGCATAATTGAGACAACTATCCACTCGAGTCCAAAAGAATCTAATCAACTATAGATCACTATACGCCATTCAACAATTAAACGGCTTGATTTATAACAAAACAATTAAAGAGTACAAATATGTCAGACCACAACAAACGACAACCACTGAATTACAGGCTTCTGGCTTTGAACAGGCATACAAAGGCGGGGTTAATCATGTTTGTCCACCCTGCCCCTTAACCTGGGACAGTGGTGTTCAACACCCATAGGAACAAACTGAAAAAAATAGTTAAAATAGCTTCACTCAACAGATACGAAGTACGAATTACAATACACAACTAGCATGCATACAAAAGACACAAATGCCGATCGAAGAGCATTCGCAGTTACTGAAGCTAGTTGAAAGTCAATTACAGCCAGGCATGGGGGGGAGTTACATTGCAATGTAATGCATTATAGTACAATTACTTTGACAAAACCATGCATTATGTTACAATTACAATTACATGCATTTATCAAAGTAATGCATTATATTACAATTACTTTTGCAAAGTAATGCCTTGAATTACACATTACATTTGAAATTTTTATTAAGTGACTAGAAAAATTAAACATTTTGAAAAACAACTAGAAGTCACAAAAGATTCTAGCATATGCAGTAACTGTTCCATGAATTGAATATAAGTATACATGTAAAAAGTCTATTTAATTCAACCTTTACAATTTTAATTATTTTAACTTAATGTTGACTCTACTTTTATAAATATACTTTTTGTTGTTTTATTTCAAATTTTAAACGAAATATTTAATTACTGTGAATTACTTCCCTAATTATAAAATAGACATAGACATTAATTAATGAAAAATTGTCAAAAATGGTGAAAATATTGATTGTAAAACAAACTAATTAGTGTTTATAACAAAGTTTAATTATCTTTTATTTAAGCAAGACAATATATTCTTTGTTCTTATGACAACAATACAGTTATGCTTTTCAAATATCAATCTTTTTATGCAGGAAAATGTATGAAATAAGATGAAATAAAGAATATATTCTAATGATTAACATATTCTTAGTTAATCAAGAAATCTTAAATTTGGTTTAGTTAAAACTACAACAATATGTTAAAGATGTAGTATGTGAAAAATGTAATGGCATGTAATGCCATGTAATGCATGAAAGTACACAACTTTTTGCTAAAGTAATGCATTATATTACAATTACATGTAATGCACAAATTGCTGCATTACACATTACATGCAATTACTTGGAAATTTACCATGCATTACAATTACACATTTGCATTACCCCATGCCTGATTACAGCTCATGAATAATTCATGTTTTCCCGGAATAAATGTCTTCTCTTGTCAGTTATTTACAAAAGGAGATGTGGATTATCCGCCAATGAGACAGCAACCAAACAACAAATATAACCAACCGGCATCTAGAACGACAACAATAGGCAGGTGTCTGTGCAATATGCCAAGATCTGAATTGTCCCCAGTCTATGAAAGTTGTGAATAAATTAAACAGACGAAATCAAATATCTGTCGTAAACACCATAATCTCGAAATAGAAAAAAAACCACATAAAGATATGAAATAAGATAACCACGGACGAGGTTCCTGTCTTGAGACAGGCAAATGAAAATGAAGCGGGGTTAAACCAGTGTTTGAGATCTCAACCCTGTCCCCTTTTAAACAAATATCGTAGAAAAATGAAACGATGATAACTGTGCTCACTGTTAAAAAAGTTTCCTATTATTCGCGCCTGATATTTTAACGATTTCTTCATGCAGAATGCTTAATACAATATACTTATAACTAGAGTTTTCTAAAAAAAATAAAATTTAACGGAAATCTCAATCATGGTGATTCAATTGTGAGTCTAAACCAATGATACCATTATAGCGCGCACGACACATGTATCTAGAAAAATGTCTCTGAGTAGGCTTTAAATGAAAATTTTTGGAATCCAAATACACAAAGAATCTGGGAGCGACAAAAGCAAACGGCATAAGAGACGAATAAACGAACGGACGTACTTCTTTATTATTGTATACGTCCCGCTTCAGGAAGCGGGGTATGAAAACCGTGTCATCTGACGTTACTCATCAATATTTTCTTGCATTCATTTCTGCAGTGATTGCACGAAACTCTGTTATTTGTTGAAGTGTCACATCACCAATTCAACCAATCTTTACTGAGAACACAAGTAGCACTACTCTGACAAACACCGTGCTTTTGATATTTTTGTTTACTAAAACTAGCAAATAAATCTAAAAGGATTTTTTTGACTGAATTAGAAATATAGGTTTAGATCATTTTGAACCCAAATTTACTTGTCCATGAATTTGCATTACAATTTTTGAGTCGATTTGGTACAAAGTCATAATATGCTTATTAAAGTTTTTTTTTCTCTCAGAAAACCAGTGTTGTTTTTGGTAGAGGTGACTTTCGGAACGCCATGTGTCACTGCAAGATTTTAAACATTGGTAGAAAATTTGCATAAAGAAAGATGATAGATGTATAATTAGGATAGATATGCTTATCATGAAGTTAAACTTAAGGTCAAATATTTAAAGAGTTTAACAAAAATAACTGAATACAAACGTTTTTTTTTTAATTTGGTGGTATGATACCTTGATAAGTACAATCTTAATGAATTTGAAAACTGAAAGCACCAAAGTTGCTAAAACACCTCGGAACCTTTTGGAACTTCCAAGATCTTGTCGACTATAACAAAGCATGTATTGATCAAGATTATGATAATATTTGGAAAATAACCCTGTTTACACCACACAATTTACTCTGAGCACAGAAATGCCTCTGCAACTCGAATAGTTTAAAGCCTTGTTTCACGTAGACATATAAATGTTGAAAACATTTTGTGTTTCAGAAAATTTTAATCTTTCCTGGATTTGGACGTGCAATATTTTTTTCGTCACTACAGTACGTGTCAACTATACCAAGTTCGGTCAAATCTTTGAAATGTCCCCCACAGTTGATATTGTTTTGTTTTGATTGATTTGAACAAAAGAGGAACAATTGATATCTGCACAACAAAAAGTGATTTGAATTGAAAGTACAAATACTGATGTTAGTCTTTTTACAGCTTTTGCAGAGATACAAAAACTGAAGATCTAAATCCAGAATTGTTTTTCATTTTTCTGAAACACAAAATACATTTAACATGTATATACCAAGTTGTGACGAGGCTTTAAAACATATATTTCTGAGTTCAGAATAAATTTTGCGGTATTAACACAGCCATTTTTCAAAAGTGTTATAAAAAAAACTTATTATATACAGCTCAATGCGGACATATTTGACTTTATTACTTGGAATAACTTAAAAATGTGACAAACATATGTGTATGTTAATGTGAAATATCGTTATACCTGATTAACCAGCAGTCCATCTACATTATAAATCATACATTTTAAATATTCAGTATACATTGAAATGAACTGCTCTATTTAGCGATTTATGTTGTCGACAAAATAAATGTAGTACACACGACAACTGGCCACACATTTTATAGTTTATTGTACGAACTAGGAATATTTTCCTTTTTATACATTTAATACCATGTTTATTAGAATAAAGCAAAAACTGTTCCAATGTGCTTGTCTACTAATGTCAATTCTGAGGACGGTTCTGACATTCCCTTATAACTGGATGTTAAGTTTTATAGAGAAGCTATATAAAAGGTAAGACCGTAAACTTGTAAATTGAAATACAAATCTTCATAAAGTTGATACGTTAAAAAATGTGAAATATTTATATGACGAACAACCATTTTTTTAAAACCTAAAGTGTACTGAATGTACTGTATCAAAATAAATACAACTGAAACATACTCAACTCTTCTTTAAAACCTGGTTTTCTCTATAATCAAAAATATTTATGAATGTAGTGAGAAAAAAATATCAACTATTTGTGTTCACAAAACCACAAGCAATGTCTGATCAAAACTAACATTAATAAGTGCTTCCTTTTATACGTAAAATATGTTCAAGAGTGATACTAGTAGATTACAGAGTCAGGACAAAAATGTAATAAGACTGAACCTGAATTACAAGTACTTCACTTCTTACAACAAAACAGAGAAAAGGTTTGGGATGATATATACGATTTATATCAATTGCTTTCAAAAGACGACACAAGATGAAAAACGGCATTTAATACAATCTATGAATTAGTCAGACTTGATACAGACCCAGCTGGGTTCAGAAAATTATAAAGATGTTAATCTTCCCAAATGAAATTGAATGTCGATCCCACATACAGAACCTTTTTTAGAATTAGATTTTTGTCAGTTTTGTGGATATTCTTTGTCTGTTTTTAAGATATTTATATGAAAGCATTATAATAAGTATTTAAGATACTGCATTTGATTCCTATTGTTAATTATCCATTTTTAGATGGTGACGTTCCCTTGTCGCCATCTTATGGTGTTTATATATCTCAACTTGTTCGATTCGCTCGTGTATGTAACAACGTATTTGATTTCAACGAAAGAAATCTCTGTATTACTGAAAAATTATTACACCAGGATATCATAAACTAGTCAAAACATTTACTAAATTTTATCATCGGTACAAGGACATCATTCGTAAATATAAATCAACATGCAGACATCTTATACGTTCAGGTATTTCACATCCAATATTTTATGGTAATATTCTTTACAAAGCACAAAAATGTCGGCATTCACCTCAAAAGCTAACCAAACCTGTCAACAGACTTATTCGGAAAGGATATAGTTACGATACTGTTGTCAAGTCATTAAGGATTGCATATTTTGGTATTAATATTGATTCACTCATAGGGTCTCTGCATCGGAAAAAAAACACATGTATTCTAAACCGATACGGACTATGTTCTTCTCATATATTTTATGATGGTATGATACTAAACCCCTAACGGGAAGGATTGTACTTGATTTTCATATGATGAAGACATAATCTTTCAATCAGTTTAATTGAGGTCTGGAGCTGGCATGTCAGTAACTGCTAGTAGTAGTCCTTTGTTCATTTATGTATCATTGTCATTTTGCTTAGTTTCTTTTGTTACCTATTCTGACATTGGACTCGGACTTCTTTTAACCTGAGTTTTACTGTGCGTATTGCTATGTGTTTCTTTATTCTACATTGGCTAGAGGTATAGGGGAGGGTTGAGATCTCACAAAACATGTTTAACCCCGCCGCAGTTTTGTGCCTCTCCCAAGTCAGGAACCTCTGGCCTTTGTTAGTCTGGTATGTTTTTTTTAATTTTTGTTCATTTATATGTTTAGGAGTTTAGTGTGATGTCCATTTTCACTGAACTAGTACATATTTTATTTAGGGGCCAGCTGAGGATCTCTTTCGGGTGCGGGATTTTTCTCGCTGCGTTGAAGACCCATTGGTGGACTTCGGCTGTTGTCTGCTCTTTGGTCGGGTGTTGTCTCTTTGACATATTCCCCATTTCCATTCTCAATTTTATTGAAGTCTGTACGTTTTGCTTTTATTCTGAATCTTATAAGTAAGAAACAACAGTAGTATACTGATTCTCAAAACTCGTAAATCCAATTGAAAATACTAATCAAGAAAAAAAAGAGGGAATCGCAAGAACTCCAAACGAAGAGAGACCGGGTGCATCGAAATGGTAAGCTTCTCCTGTTATGCATACGAATGTAATTTCAATCAAAATTTCATAATATGCAATAAGACACAATCGGTAATTTTGCAGATCAGACAACTATTCTGGTTTTTTGAGACAAGAAAAAAGATCACTGGTGAATAGAGACACAGACAAGTTGTATCGGTCAACTAATTGGTGATGGTGACCGTGAAACTTGTACAGTGTCGATTTATGTCGTTTTTCATAAACCTGCTGGAAGAGTTTTTGTGTTAGGAGCACCTCCCTGTATTTGAAGTCAGTATAATGTGATTATGCACGAGTAAAGGTGATTTCTCTTTTATTTAAATACAGGAAGCAAAACAGTCTACAATTGAAAGAAACACGGACACTTGGACCTTTAGAAAGATATTTTTATTTTTGGATTCTACAATATGATGATACGTTTCCGTATAAACTTACTCTCTCAAGCACATCCCCGTTTACCGTCAAACAAATATCGGCTGCAGTTTCTGCCTTGGTCATTCAACATCCAGTGTTACGAAAGTCCTTTATGAATAATGGAAGAACTGTGGAATTGGTTGAATTTCCGAATAAAGTCGATTACCTTGAGGTATTGTCGAAAAACTATTTTGACTCAATGTTCAATGAATTTTCTTTAAACGGCAAATCATGGCGACTTGTACTGTTAGAACCCGATGCGGAAGCAACACACACTATAACAATTTTGATCGGCGTTCATCATGCCCTGTCAGATTATATCTATAACCGTCAGATAATTACATCATTTATTCTCAATTTAGATAAGCTACAACATGGTATGACTCCCTCAACAGACATTGTCTTTAAGCACAGCAAACCGATCGAGGAAATGACAAGTGATACACCTATTAGAGAGGTTGAAAGTTACTCAGTTGGTCCAACATATCAAAATAAAAAAGTTCTCACAGCTACAGAGTTATTATCACATGCAGTCAATAAATTCGGTCATGCAAAATCTCCGTTCAGTTCTAGTAGGACAATAAAATGGAAATTAGACAAAAAAACATCACAGATTTTCGTTGATTCAAGAAGGAAATGTAAAGGATCAATAACTGCCTTACTTTTAACAGTATGCATCTCATCTTTTATGAAGTTAACACGGACATGTTTGAAAAAGGACGAAGTAGTTAACCTACCTTTCGTGTTTATGGTTAATCTACGTAGATATATAGTAAACAAAGAAGAGTTCCGAGGGAATGCATCCATAGATGTGCAATGCTATTTACAAATGGCATCATCATTTACCTCGAACAAACAATTCTGGGTTACGGCGAATAATGTTTCGATTAAAATTAGGGAAATAATAGAAAGTGGACATCTTCTAGTTGCAGCGAAAGACTGGATAGATTATCCTGTGGCAGCTATCGCTTTGACACATGTTGGTTCTACAGATGATTTCATAGAAGAGAAAACAAACATTTGCCTCGACGACCTTGAGACAAACACCAATGTCAATCAAGAAATGGCGCCAATATTCTACGTCAATACCAATTCTGTTCGAGGCGAGATGCAGTTTTTTATTTCGTACAGTTCCTCGTTAATCCCTGATCTTTTCGCACAAAAGTTTGCTGATGGTATATCTGAAAGTATACAAAATTTAGAAAATGAGCATCCCAATTGATCCTTCTTTGTGTTATATAAAACTACGATCAAATACTAAGCTTGTAAAATTACGAGATTCAGTCGTAGTGGTTATGCGATATATCATTTTTCAAAAAGAACCACAGATCCATTCAACACGATACTATTTAAAAAATTGATCGAAAAACTTTTTTCGTCAGTCGTGAAAAACGTCAAACAATTTTAACCGCGCCACATTCTGTTTTGTACATAAATAAGGCCGTTAGTTTTCTGGTTTGAATTGTTTAACATTTGTCATGCTACATCTTCTTTTTGTCGAGCCTTCGACTTTTGTCGAAAAAGCGAGACATAGCGATCCTACATTCCGTCGTCGGCGTCGTTGTCGTCGTCGGCGGCGTCCACAAATATTCACTCTGTGGTTAAAGTTTTTGAAATTTTAATAACTTTCTTAAACTATCCTGGATTTCTACCAAAATTGGAAAGAAGCTTGTTTATGATCATAATATAGTATCCAGAAGTAAATTTTGTAAAAACAAAATCATTTTTTCAGTATTTTACTTATAAATGGACTTAGTTTTTCTGCCAGTTAATATTACATTCACTCTGTGGTTAAAGTTTTTAAAATTTTAACAACTTTCTTAAACTATCTTGGATTTGTACCAAACTTGGACAGAAGGTTGTTTTTGATCAAAAGCTAGTATCTAGAAGGAAATTTTGTTAAAATTTTGTTATATTTTTTCCTTATTTTACTTATAAATGGACTTAGTTTTTCTTCCAGTTAACATTACATACATTCTGCAGTTTAAGTTTTTAAAACATTTATTAGATTCATAAACTATCCTGGATTTTTACCAAACTTGGACAGAAGCTACTTACAATAAAAAGATAGTATAGAGAGGAATATTTTTATTAATTTTTTTCCTCATTTTTGTTGAGCCTGCGATTAACAGTAAAAGTAGGCAAGACACTGGGTTCCGCGGAACCCTTACGAATTTTTTATACAATATGCAAATTTGGTTTTTACAATAAGACCACAACAATTTGTTTTAAATAATGATTAATATATCTTCAAAATAAAAAACTTCGTCAAAATTGTTTCCCAATGATTCAATATTGTGCTAGGTCAGTTGCGAGTACTAAAGCTGATCATATCATCCACTGTATTTTGAAATATTCTAACACAATACAACTCTTTAAACAAAGAGGAAACTGGACAGTAAACTCATATTGAATCAAAGGTATAGAAAGAAGAAACCAAGAAGCAATCGAACCACTAAAATATAAAAGAAAAAATGAGGAAAATACAAGCAGCAGTCCATAAAACTCCATACATAAAAACTAATGATTGAGCAACACGAACACATGAGATTGATGGAATTCTCTTGTCTAAACCTAAGACATAAAACTAATCAAAGATACCAGGCTAATGATTTTGTACGCCAGACGCTCATTTCATCTAAATAAAACTCATCAGTGGCGCTCGAATTAAAACAGTCGGAAGGCCAAACCAAATACGAAGCTGTAAAGCTTTAAAACCCTTAAATTATGACCGTGAAAGTGAAAAATTGAAATGAAACATACGATACTTTCTAGATAAAGGATGAGCAAGAACCATGATCGAAAACTTAAATAAATATAGTAAGATTCACAATATCAAAACGGAAAACTAAATCAAAAGCAACACACACACACACACACAATAGAAGAACAAGGAGTGGAATCAGGTGCTGAAGAATGGTTATCAGTTTATGGTCAACTTATTGCTTTCGTTTTTGCTTTCATGACAAATGAAACACGGATTCGGAGATGTCATAAAAAGTAAAATAACAAAAATACCGAACTCCAAGGACAATTCAAAACGGAAAGTCCCTTATCAAATGGCAAAATCAAAAGCTCAAACACATCAAACGAATGGAAAACAACTGTCATATTCCTTACTTGGTACAGGCATTACCTTATGTAGAAAATGGTGGATTAAACCTGGTTGTATAGCTTGCTGAACCTCTCACTTGTATGACAGTCGCATAAAATTCCATCATATTGACAACAATGTGTGAACAAAACAAACATACATAATAGGTAAAAATGTCAAAAATAGAGGTACAGCTGTCAATATTTTGTTATAATCTTAATTACTATGAAAAAAAAAAAATGTCAACAAAGAAAAACAAAATGGCATATAGACAAAAATGAAAGACAAGAATACAAAAAATGACCATTGAACAATGAACACAATGGCGGGATGTATAAGTACCGAGCAACACCAAAAGAATATTGCCACGATACTTTCTGGATAAAGGATCATGGTTCTTGCTCATCCTTTATCTTTATTTTTTTACAGCACTGGGTCGATACCTCTGCTGGTGGACAATCAGTCCCCGATGGTATCATCAGCTCAGTAGTCAGTATTTCGGTACTGACATGATTTATTACAAACCTTTCTAAAATTGTCCGTTTATAAATTTTAAAATTATAAAAAAAACTAAGGTTTCAATTCCCTCAGGCAAAGTTGACCTCAGATGGATTTGGCTATTTTTATGTATTTTTTTGTCATATAGCTCTTCAACTGTTTCGGTTCTTATACATTCTCGGCTTTCAAATATTCGGCTTTGAGCGTTCCTGATGAAGGTAAATCCAGAAAAGCGCTTCGGACACATGAAATTATTTAACGTGTTATTTTCATTTTTACCAAAAATGGACTAAACAGTAAAGGTTAATGATTTACAAAGACAAATAAAAGAACACTATAACACGAAATTAAGATGATAAACAACGTCAATACCTAGAATCTATACACGAAGGCAACTACAAATGATCTGTCACATATATTTTGTAACGGTCAACAGAGACATGGTTGCATCAGTGAAACTTCCATGAGTTTTAACTTTACAGCTAAGAATTCTTAGTTCAGTAGGTTGCAACAGTCTTTTATTGTCTAAATCCTGATATGAACGCAAGTCCTGGGATATTGTATCAACTGGGAGATATATTTTTATGTGCTTCTAGAATATTGTTTCGCAAATAGGATAATTGAAGTCATTTACTTTGTCGGAAAGTATAGTTCTTAACCAATCCTCACTGTCAATTTGTGAAAGTCTACACCTTACTGTCTCCTCTGAAAAATCCCGCACTTCACTGCAAGTTCAAGATGGGCAGAAAAATGAAACAAATCTTATTGATTTAATTGTCATTGTTTGGTACGTTTAAAATACGTTTTGAACCAAAAGTGTACTTGACAGGCAACTAAAATTAGTGTTTCGAATACTTAACCCTTCCCATGTTACCTTTTTTTAAGGTACCTTTAAGAAAATCATAGGGACTTTTCAAAGGAAACAAACATAGGGAATTGTTATGTTCACCTCTTGTTTTATCAAGATCTAAATACTAAGTAATGTGTTATCATACATACAAAAATCAGGTATCTTATACACACAACTAAATGTTTTACAGATGTTAAACCTGTTTGGTTGCAGCAATATGCATATTTTATTTGTTTTAATGAGATTTACTCATAAATCGGGCCTGAATTCGATTAACCTATTCCTTTTGTCGTAATATGCATTGTGTATTACATATATTTACGTTGTCATCCCAACTCTTTCAAACAACTGATGGCATTGTGCTAGTCTAATAATGTTTTTTTTTTATTTGTATGGTTTTCAGGATAGCATTATAGATTGGCTACACAAATGGGATACTGATTTGTAATTATGCACTTTGCGCAAAAAAGGTTCTTGTTTACCTTTTCACATCGGTTATTGAATAAATATTTTAGTTCCCTTTATTTGCGCTATTAATTTTATTTGATTACAAAATGAAAAAGGGTAAACATTACCGGAACTGCGCACCACGACCTCTTGAAATGCTTATTATATATTTTTGCATAAATTATAAAGCAGAGGATAACATACATCTTGTATTTCAAATTAATTGTTTAATCTACTTCATTGTAACACCTATGATCAGTATTAGTTCATGTAATAATCACGTGCAATTCATGCAAGCATGCAAGCAAAAGTATTAGAAAGTGCTAGTTAAGACACGAGCCTGTACTAAAGCAATAAAGAATTAATGATTCTTTTTGTAATTTTATTATGGTTTAAAAGCGTTGACCGAAGCACATTTTGTATGAAGCGCGGATGTTCATACTAAAAATGTGCGCACCATCAACGCTTTTACAACCTTATGAAATTATAAAAAGGAGCATTCAATTCTAATAGTTACATTTTTATGCTACAACCATGAAAATACGAGTTATATCCAATATTTCGTTCGTTTTCCTATGTATTGTTGTGACGTTGTCACGGGTAGCACGTGCTGTCAGGAATGTTGGCACGGATTTTATTTGGAAATAAATCTAATTTTGGAATGTCTTTTAATTGTTTTTAGCCAATCAACAGTATTGATTTTTATGAAAGATACATGCAATGTAATTATTTATGTGTGAAGAGGGACCATTAATAAATGATGATGATAATAAAGCGTAAGTGTAGCACCGGGTCCTCCCACTACTATAATAGATCTTAGTTTTACCTACAAAGTTTACAGAATGAGAGCAAAATTACATCATGTTTATATATTTTTTATAATGATATATTTCTTATGTATTTTGATCTTTTAAAAGCATAAATTTGCAACGCTGTCCCCGGCAATAGTATTTTGAGGAAACATGATAAAAATAGGCAATAAAAATCATACCACATCTTCTTATTGTTATAATAATCTTATTCACAGGAGAAAGTCAGGTACATCTGTTTACGTTCAGGCGTGTTTGAGTTGACTGTTTTGTCCTGAAAAACGTATTTATATAACATGTTTCAAACATTATAAAATACACATCAAGCGTATGATCTAAGTAAGTACCGACACAGCAGACCAAAGCCAATTAACTAATAAAACCTCAATGCGTTGACCTTAAGAGACCAATTGATAAGAGAATTACTAGCGTGAACAATGATTAGAGATATACAGCTAAATATAAATAAACCTTGACCGCAGATAATTGATAGCTATTAACGACCACTCTTATAAGAACGATCACAGACACTATACCATAATTACAAAAGTAGTTATTGTTGATATAAAGCCTGTAAACGTCCAGCAGGAAGTATTTCAGATACCCAGTCTGATATTGTTGAAGTACTGAAAAATATAAAACATGATAAAATAATTATTTTTATTATGCAAATATTTGGGCTTAAGGGCAACACGTTATGTTACAGAAAACTTCCTTGGCGTCATTGAATAAGAAGCGATGAATGTAAACTAACTGACGCCAACATTATACTTAACTATCCGAGCAGTGTGCGCGGCACACTGTGTGAATGCTTGAGGATATTTTTTCTCTAGTATCATGTAATTCACTCAGTTCTGTCATATTGTAAATCAAGAACAAAACAAATTACATGCTACCTGCAGTTGACACAAAGCACACAGTATGTACATAAAATGATAGTGTGTTCTCAGATAATTAAGGATAATGTGCCGCTAAAATACTGTGCCTGAGCTAGCCACATATCTTTGACAGAAATGCGTCACCATAGGGGTATTTGCATACACGTGTGTGTACGTCTACCAGTCTACTTGTCTCAGAGTACTTTAGCAAGCCGTTCCCGAGCGGTATAGCCTTACTTGATTTTCCACGTGGTACCGCATAAGAGTAAATCTTTGTGGGCATAGACCGACGTGAAATAGAGCTGTTGAGCAATCAAGATGAGACTATTCCTCGTTAAGGTACGTAGGCACCCTAACTACTCAGAAAATTTTGGGGAACGATATAATATTTGGCCAAAATAAAATATCATAGCCCAAAACGAAATATGTAACGTTATGTTGCCTGCCCAAGTTGCATATTGAGTAACCCCAAAATTTAAAGATGTTGTGCCTGATGAAGCCTTGTGTCTTGTTAAAATTAAAGTTGATCTAGAGAAAATTAATGTCAATATAAAAATCCTTAACCACAATATTGAGATCAACGTGAAAAGAAAAGACACAAGGCTAGGATGTAGGACATGTTACAAAGTCATAACCGATCGCGGATTTAATATCCGATTTAAATGTTCTACTGTAGCGTTTAAAACAATCTGATTTCCAAAGT